AATCCCACGTTCATAAAACTTCTGGTTTTTATTAGCAAAAAATCAGGTGCGATTTGACATCATCATCATATTGAAATTTTTACCATTCAAGGAGTTTTGTAAAGAGCGAAACAAAAAGTAATCTGATGGTGCAAGGTCAGGACTATATGGTGGATGTGGCAAAACATCCCAACCAAGCTCCAATAATTTTTGCCGAGTGGCCAAAGATGTGTGTGGCCTTGCATTATCATGATGGAATACCACACCTTTTCGATTTGTCAATTCGGGCCGCTTTTCTTCAACAGCATTGTTTAATTTCGTTAGTTGTTCAATGTAGACATCAGAATTGATCGTTCGGTTGGGTGGTAAGAGTTCAAAGTAGACAATTCCTTTGTAATCCCACCAAACTGATAACAAAACCTTCTTTTGATGAATATCAGCTTTTGATGTTGTTTGAGCTGGTTCACCTGGCTTGCTCCACGATCTTTTCCGCTTGATATTGTTGTAAACAACCCATTTTTCATCGCCAGTTATCAGTCGTTTCAAAAATGGATCATTTTCGTTACGTTTCTTAAGCAAATCGCAGTTGTTAATGCGTTGCGTTAAATGCGTTTCTTTCAGTTCATGAGGAACCCATGTATCAAGTTTTTTGAACATAGCCAAGCTGTTTTAAGTGATTTTCAATGCATGTATGTGATACATGGAGCTTCTCTGCGATCTCACGTGTTGTACTGTGACGATCCGAATCGATTATTGCTTTGATAAGGTCGTCATCAACTTCAACTGGACGACCAGAGCGTTCTTCATCTTTGAGTGAAAAATCACCAGAACGAAATTTGGCAAACCAATTTTGACACTGCCGTTTTTTAAGGCTTCGTCACCATAAACAGCACATAACTTTTTGTGAGCTTGCGATGCGTTTTTCCCTTTGCGGAAATAAAAAAGTAAAATATGACGAAAATGTTCCTTTTGATGTTCCATTTTTCAACGAACGCCAAACAAAAACTATGCAACCAATCAAAAAACTTTTTATACCGATTGATAGCTGAATTGCCAACTGTCTAATAACAAAATAAGTTTTACACTTGCTCTACGTCAGCAAACCTAAAAATTCAACTGAAACCATCTATGAGTGAAATCCGCGATTACTTTGCCAACCTAATACCTGGAAGACAAACCTCGTCCAGGGAGGCCATATGCCTTAAATATGGACCTATTGCGTCCCTTGATTCAAACCAGTTGGTACGAGCTCGCTGCCAGCTCTCTATCTAGTCCTTACACTGCGCAGGGGAGTTTCTACCCCTCAACGCAGTGGTAATCAGCAAATCCTCCTGTAATTAGCTGCAGAGAGAGGATGGCTCCTCCATTTGGTCCCAAAACCCAGCAATGTCCACCTACTCCACTACAGCTCAGGGTCACACATTTGGAAAATGACACTGCTCGAGATCCTTGAAGCTTAGCTAGTGGATTCCACCAGTCTTTGTGTAGCCCTGACTTAGCTCTTTCTAACAAACTAACTCTCCCAGCAGCCACATTCTGAGTGAGAGCATCTCAAAAGTGACCCGGCCGCCCTTACTTACTAAAAATGCAACAACTCACTGGAATAAACTTGTCTAGAGAAAAAATGTTCGAAAATGTCACGAACTTTTGGGACGACCTAATAATAATAATAGTAATAATAATAAAAAGAATATCCCTACAAGGAAATCCCAAAGCTCCTTCGTGCTCTGCTGAGAACTTTAGTTTCATAGATCCTGAATTACTGCGGTGTTTTTTGCGGCTGCACTCGACTGGGCTCTGGTTTCCACTGTGCTGAGTGTATAACTGTGAGTTCAATTCAATCTATCTGTAGTAGGTAACAAATCTTAATATCTGCTTGATCGATCGAGTACCATTCTGACTCTTTCCTTTCGCTGTCTAGGTTGTTGCTTTCTTATTTATATCACTGGCAATTTCCGCGATTGGCAGTTGCCATCATCGATTGATCTGGGAGTATTTTGATTTGACTTGATCTGTTCTATGCTTCAGTTGAAGTGTTTCCGTGCGCATTTTTCTTGCAATGGCAGGAAGACGAAATAACCAAAAATGCTTCACAAAAATCGGCAGGAGTTTCTCATGTAGATAATTTAGACTATCGCGATTCTTCTGTCAGTAAACTTCTCAATGTGATGCTTGGCAAGTTCAGATCCAAGGATGCATGAAATGATTTTAGCGCTATAAAAACTAGTCCAAACATTTCCTAGTCCCCAGAAGGTTGCAGTGTGGTTGTAGCTAGGTTACCAGAGAAACCTCGGGAACTACCAGCATCGCGACGACAAGCAGAACTGGAGGATAAGGTTGGAGGTATTTTAGACATTCTAGATATTGAGTGTCATCCTGAATCCTGTCTTTAGGATGGGAACATTTACGGATTCGGAACCTGGGTTAGTTAAAGTTCTCTTACCGTCTAAGTCCCACTGGTCGAAAGTTCTTGCTAATGCACGTTTGCTGCGTCGATCCACAATGTCTGATGTGTTTATAAGGCGCAGTATGTCAAGCTGAAGAGCAAGCATGGACTACAAACTGAGGCAGCAGGCTAGGGAGTTGAATAAAACTGCAGGATTCAAGGAATGGGTAGTTTATAAAAGTGAACATAAAAAGACCAGCGAGCTGCCCCCTAACAGAATGGTGGGAAACCGGCAGTGATGCTGGGTACTGCACCCAGTTGCGTTGCTTATTTATTTCGCGCAGTATGGTTAACAAACTATCTCTTTTGCATGCGTTTGTTGCAGTTAATGATCCTGAGCTATTATTAATCACAGAAACCTTGCTTGGCAATGTAAAAATATATACTACCGATTTCACTGACATGTTTACAAACTTGGAACATAGCCTCATTATCAGGAATATGCAACAGCTTATGAGCATCTGCTTCAAAAATGCCAATAAGGCGTTCATTGCTAGTAATGGTTACCATGTTTTTTACTCAGACGGTAGAGCAAATAAAAGCAACTACAGATACTACAAAGCTACCGACTTAATATATCTTATCGATTACTTATTGCGCAACAGTTTTTGTATTTTTGCTGGTAACATATTCAATCAGACTAAAGGTGTTCCACAAGGAGGCAACTTCAGCCCGCTGTTGGCAGACCTTACGCTGTCAATCATGGAATATAATTATGCAAATGCAATACGAGTAAAATGCAATAGATTCAATGCGAGTAAATTGCTCATTCCATATAGATATATGGATGATCTCCTAGTCATACATAACCAGTCTGAAGTGAAGTCGATGAACAACTCGCTGAGGTCTATAGAAATACCTCCAGTTGAAGAAAACTCACACAACTGAGCTATACAGTGATTTAGACTTAACGTTGGTTTATATAATAAAACAGATGACTTTAATTTCAAAGTGATTAGATTCCCACACAGTGATTCAAATATCTCCACTAACAACAAGGCTTCCGTTATATACACAGAAACCCTTAGGATAGCCAACACCTGTACTTGTTTTGATACGTTTACAAGAAGGATATGGGAATAGCTAGTATAGTGAAGAGTATTCATAGAAATAAACTTATATATAAATACTCTATTACGAATGATTATGGGAGCATAAGCACATTAGTCCGAGGTATTCTCAGCGGGCCGAGAAGGGGACAAGTTCGTCTTCCGCCTGGCTAAAGCTCGGCATCGCGCTGCTCAGGACATCAGGGTCGTAAAGACTGTGAAGAGCAGCAACGGGGCCATTCTCAGGAAACCAGCCGAAGTCAGGAAGAGGTGGGAAGAATACTTCGAGGGACTTCTGAACGAAGAATTCCCTCGCAAGGATAGCCCACAGATAGAGGCGACGGCAGGTCCCATCACTCCCTGGACGAAGGATGAAGTCGCCGGAGCTAGGGAGAATGAAAGTTGGGAAAGCAGTGGGTCCAGACGGGGTACCGATAGAGGCATGGAAGGCCCTGGGAGAGGAGCTGTACGAGCTCAACACTAGGCTGAGGGAACTTGTCCCTATCTCGCAGGAACAGTTCGGCTTCATGCCCGAGAGGTCCACCACTGATGCCATCTTCATCGCCAGACAGCTGATGGAGAAGTACCAGAGAAGCGGCGACCCTGCTACCTAGCCTTCCTGGACCTTGAGAAGGCATTCGACCGCCTGCCTCGGCCTTGTACTCTGGAGAGCACTTAGAGAACGTTTCCTCCTGACTCTGGATTTCATGGCAAAAGAACTCATGGAGGGGCCACTGAAAACCATCCTCTACGCTGACGACATCGCCCTGATAGCGGACAGCAGGGAAGAACTCCAGGACAAGGTGCAGCGGTGGCAGGATGTGCTCGCTGAGAATGGACTCCGGCTGAACGTAAAGAAGACCAAGTTCCTGAGCTCCGAAGAGTGTACCGAACCCATCGTAGACCGCCATGGCGAGAGCATCGAAAGGGTCGAGGACTTCCAGTACCTGGGGAGCGACTAGCAGCTGATGGCAGCGTGGACCAGGCGGTGAAGGCCCGAATCAACGCAGCCTGGATGAAATGGAGGGAGTCCACCGGCATCCTGTGCACCCACGGTGCGTCAACTTCTTTCAACGGCATGTTCGTGTAGTATTTTCGTCTTACTCACGTAATCCAATCAATTTGCATTCTTAAACTTCTCAATCTTTATCGTTTTCAACTTTATTCCTTATAAACTTTCTGCAATTGATTTTTTCTTCCTTTCCTTACTGAAGGAGCACGGAAGGAGGAATATGCTTTTGCTCGGCTTCCGTCTAAGGGCACGTGCGAAACGGAAGCTGAGCTATCTCTTTGCTTTCGACCCCCCTCAATAATTCTCATTTATTAGATTTTACAACATAGTCCTACTAATTTCAATTTCAATGATTTTATTGATGAAAGAACTGCTGATACAGAAGCATTAGGGTCCAAACTACGAGCTAATTTGAAGCAATAGGGGTTACCAGAGGTGGGGGGGGGGGGTATGTTGCCTGCTTCGAGATGATCCTGCTTCAGTACGACATCACTTCGGAGTTCTCTACTGAGCCCTGTGGCTAGCTGTTGCCTATCGGCCACCACAGTCCACGGCTAATGATGATAATGAGTTAATTGATTCTCTCTATGACATATGTTCCACAACTAGCCCCATTATTGTCACTGGTGATTTAAACTTGAGCATTGATTGGGGGAAAAGCAAAGCAGCCAAGGGAGGGAGAGGGGGCGATTTGCGATTCAAGCAAGCCTTCAAGTGCTGCGAGCTCAAACAATGGGTTAAGTCCTTTACTCGCGGGAATCCGTCCTGGACTTGATCTTATCTTCTGGAACTACGATTGAAAATATTGACATTCTTCCTCCTCTCGGGAACTCCGACCATAATATTGTGAAGTTTGAAATTGACTACATAAAGAGAAGAGAGTTCTTTCCTACCTGAACCTGCGTTCAGCCGGGTTGATTATCGGAAGCTCGGTCATTGTTTTAACGCAGTAGATTGGAATCTGATCCTACTAATATAATCGGCTATGTCCGTGTGTGTGTGTGTGTGTGTGTGTGTGTCTGTCTGTCTGTCTGTCTGTCTGTCTGTCTGTCTGTCTGTCTGTCTGTCACGAAATTCATAGCACCTGAAGAAGAACTTGGAGGGTCGGGTCATGGTGGGGATGGGTAGAGCATGGGACAAAACCTAAATAGCACCCATGACCCATGGTAAGCCCCGCCCACAGTGGGCGGGGCGTGCGTCGAAAGTTAGCGATGTCACTGAAAAAGTCATAACTCGGTTCCAGAGCAGTCCCCAGATGAGGGAACAGTGCAGTAAAGTTAACAAAGGGCTGACCGACGACCAAATAGAGGAGACACACCCGAAATGGGCGGGGCGTGCTTGAGATGGGCGGCGCTTTCCATAAAGGTAGGTAACTCGGTTCCCGAAAATGTTTAGAGATCGCAGAAAACTCCATGACGAAGATGAACATCTGGCAAGAGTCGACCATGTTTGCGGCATGCTGAGGCCCGCCCACAGTGGGCGGGCGTGCATTTGAACGCGAGGTACCATTATAAAAAACCGTAGTTTGGTGCTAAAGCACTACAGATGGCGCAAAAAAAGTGGATTATGGCCCCCAAGTGATCACATGCAGGAATGTGCGAGGCACTCCCGTTGTGGGCGGAGCGTGCCCCGAGGTGGGTGGAGCCAAATTTAAAAAATTCGCAAAACGCTTCCAGAGCACTCCAGACACCGGGAAAAAGTAGTTTAAGAGGGTCTTCGGTTGAGAAGCGCGAGGCATACGTTGTGGGCGGAGCGTGCGGCCGAGGTGGGCGGAGCCAATTGAAAAAATTCTTAAAACGGTTCCTGAATACTTCAGACACGAGCACTACGAGCTGCGTCAGGAGGCGCGTGAGTGCAATAAGGGCAAAAGCATTCGTGAGTGGGTAGTCAAGGTCAACTCAGGCAAACGTCTGAACTTCCTCCTCGAAGTTCGGGAAACCGTTTATGACGCACGGAAAATCCACCCTCACCTGCTACCTACTAAACGCCCGCAGTTTATCTAACAAATTAGAGCATCTGCATGCCTTCATACGTCAACATGAGCCGATCTCCTATTCATCACGGAGACATGGCTTACGACTAATGTTCTGGACTCTGAGATAGTGACAAACTTCCCGTATTTTCTTTATCGTTTGGACCGAAAGGAGCGCCGTGGTGGTGGAGTTTGCTGTCTGGTGAGAGGCAATCTCCATGTTCATTCGGTTGACCGTGCATCGCCTAACAAAGCAGATGTCCTCTGCGTCGACCTTCTTTGTCCCCACAATGCCTCACGAATTCGCTTCATTCTCGTGTATCGTCCACCCAATATGAGCAAAAATGAGGATGAGGAACTTATCGATGTCCTTCGTGACACTGTCGCAACTCATACTAACACCATAATGCTAGGTGACTTCATTCTTCTGGTTGACTGGAAAGCCCTGAATGCGCATAATGCAGCGTCATCCTTGTTTCTGAAGTTCTTCCAAGGCAGTGGCCTCGAACAGCATGTTTCTCTACCAACCCATGGCAGGAACATTCTTGATTTAGTGTTGTCGACATTTAACAACATAAGAGAGGTCACGACTTCGTCTCCGCTGGCAAACTCTGATCACTCATTGTTCGTTTCAAAGTACTGGGAGACTTCGAGAGTTACTCCTCTGTCCCTCTTCCCGACTTCTTGAATGTAAATTACAGTGGCCTTGACGGGTACTTGTCTACCGTTGACTGGCTCACGTTGTTCGACCAATACGTCTCAATGGATGATGTTTACCAAAGGTTTTGCAGAACTCTATATCATGCGTTGTCACTATTTGTCCTATGAAAGTCCGAGAGCCTCGCCCTCTCAGGTATCCTCGCATATTACAAATTTGTTGACTCAGAAAGAGCGTCTATTCCGCGACCTAGAATTCCCATTGAGCAGTTCACTATACAAAGAAGGTGTGTTCCGATGTTGACCGCCATTAAAGAAATTTATCGCAAGTTTAGAGCGTCGCCTTGGACGTCAAACTTCACTGAAGCGCCTTCCACTCATACATTGGCAATAAGTTGAAATCCAAGTGAGGCAGGGATAGCCGAGTGGTTAAGAAAGGCGGCTCGTGTTCGCAACCACGCTGAAGTAGGTCACGAGTACAATCCCTGCCGAGGCACAAACCATGCCTTGCAAAAATTGCAAAAATGGGGACGATACCAGCGTCAGGCCCAGGTTGACAGGCCGGCTGATGGAGGAACCCGTCACAACAATCATGACAGCGACATGATGACAAGTCGCAAAAGTATCAGTGTAAAAGCTAGGACGTCACACGGAAGTGTGGCGCGCGCAGAACCCTCGCCCGAGTTCTGTGGTCAGTATGCGAGGGCTACCGAGGAGTGAACGACCTCGGTCAAAGAAGCTAGTTCGAATAGGGACCCTGAACGTGGGGTCGCTTACCGGGAAGTCTCGCGAGGTTGCCGACCTCATGAGGCGCAGGAACATCCAAGTCCTATGCCTTCAGGAAACGCGATGGAAAGGTGCAAAGGCCCGCGAGATTGGAGAAGGTGTCAAACTCTTCTACAATGGAGCAGACACCAAACGGAATGGCGTGGCCATAGCGGTATGGGCACGTACTGAGGAGGCCTGAAGACCACCCAATAAGAAAGGCATTGGAATTCGAAGTAGAGGGCAAGCGACCACGAGGAGCCCCAAAGAAAAGATGGAGGGACGTCATCAAGAAGGACCTCACTGAAGTGAAAGCCACGGCAGAAGATGCAGTGGATCGGAACAAGTGGCGACGTCTAACAAGAACAGCGGACCCTGCGACGGCGCGGGACTAACGCTAGGGAGAAGAAGAAGAAGAAGTTGAAATCCAAGTGCGCTTCTCTCGCTTTAGAGGATCAGTCAGGAACAAAGCTTTGTAGCGAATTTGCAAAGGCTGGGCTTTGGGTAGGTATTCCGCTAACGTCTTCTCAACTGCTGATTCTCACAACAGTGCTGAGGAGGAGTCGATCATCTAGCTCCAAAGGTGGCTTTCCCGAAATTTACTTCCATCCCTTCGATGTTTACACTGTGCTGAAGAGCCTGAAACGAGCCTATTCGTGAGCCTATGAATGCCATCCCTCAAATCGTATTTTGGTGAGAAACCTAAGATAAGGAAATAAGCGATTATAACGGCCATTCCGAAGCATTCCGTTGCCAAGACAGTTTGTGATTTCAGGCCTATAGGTCTCACCCCCACACCTTTCAAAGTAATGAAAACCGACATTTGCGGCAAGCTCCTATCCTGGTTAGGTGAACTTAAAGGCAGTTGGCACGATAAATCCCCCAAGACGAGTAGGATTAATACGCCTGGCAGGACGGAATTCCGCGACCCTGAGCAGGCGCTGCATAATGCCTTTTCCAAGGAAGGTGCCCTTATAAGGGCCCTATCAAGCCACAACATTCCGACCCAAACGCCCGCCACGCCCGCCCACAAATGGACGACCGTTCCTGACGCTGATCATTGCTAAGCAAATTATGAAGCGAAGGGATTGGTATGAAGCGGCCGTGATGCTGCATGGATATATGAGTACACATATGCAGCCGTACCTTCGGTAGCGGTTATTGGCAAGATGCCTACGGGAAACTCGTCCAAAATTGATTTTGAACACATTGAGAACGGAGGCTCTTTCTTCGCAGGATTTTGACCGTTTCACTCCGTTCTTTCGCCATTTCCCCACTATATAGCGCCCTACTAGCATTTTAGGCCGAGCACCAAATCATCGTGCCAACTGCCTTCAAACTTAATTCCGGTGAGCAACAAAGGTACCTTCCCCGAGCTTCAACCTGTGCAAAGCTTACTGACACGTTTGACGTGTGCAGAGCTCTT